ATTCCTTTTTTGGAAAAGAAAAAGACACGAACAAACACAAAAGCACCAACAATATATACAAAGTTTATGTTCATACTATTTTTTAATAAAATATTATGAACTTAAATTAAACTATAACTGCAAATTTGAATTGGAGGTAGTTTATAAATAAATTTGTCCGACTTCTTGTCTTCTAACTTTTGTATCTTTTCTATCATTTCCTTCATTGCTTTCATTTGTAAAGTATCCACTTTGTTTAGGTCTAACTCATTTTCATCTAATGCTTTTATTTGTTCAATATAGTTTGTTTCATCACTTTTTGATTGACTACTGCCCATATATCATTGTTTATATTTTAATTTTCAGTTTTACTTTTTGCTTTTGCTTTAGGTTTTTCCAGTTCTTGTATCTTTGCTTCTAACTTATCAACTCTATCCAATGTTTCTTGTAATCCCTTCCATAAAACCACTGAAAGCTTCATATAATTGATTGTCTTGAATGTTTTGTTTTCATCTTTTATTTTAGTATCTTTAACAATATGTTTAAATTCTTCTGGCAAATATTGTTCTAAATTTTGTGCTATAAACCCTATCTTATCGTTGTTGTCATACTTTTTGTCATTATATTCAAAGGTCTTAACTTTAACTGCTTTGATACAATCGCTACAATTTTCATAATACTCTTTAATGTTCTTTTTCAGTCTTTTTCTCAGAAACTGTAGTGTCTATTATATTACCTATAATTGAACGAGATGTATTATCAATAACAGTGTTAAAATCTAAGGCTTCTGCTGAATAATCATATCTGAATATCTCCGCTGTTCCTGTTCCTCCACTTTGTAGTCCATACCATATTGTATCAGTATTATCACTTCTTGGTCTGTATTCATTTGTATAAACATCGGTTGTAGATAATGCTACACCTGATGGAATATTAACTATGCTACTGCTACCATCAAATTTAAAATATTCAACTCCGTTTCTTTGAAATACTAAGTCATTATCACCTGTAGTATTGATTGTATCAACTTTCAACTCTTCATTACATTGAGCAAAATTACTTCTAAAAAACATAACATTAGGCTGAGCACCAACACCAATAGAAACATTTGAATTTGTTAAACTTTCGTCTTTGTTCCATATTCTTAAAGCATTCTGTGTTACTTCATCTGCTTCATATATGATACTTTCATTCAAACCTCCTGACATTGCTAATTTTATAGGAATTTGAACCCTTGATATCCTATCAACAACATTGAACCTCATAAACTCATCATTATTCCTCTGTAATACCATATCACTGTTGCTTTCAGTATCAAAATTATTACACTTAAATTCTCTTTTACAAGTTACATCACTATTAGTCATAACAAAAAGTCTCTGACCGGCACTCAATACATTGCCTATAACAAACTCATAAGAACTACCTGTATTAGGCGCTTCAAATCTTGTAACTGGAACTGTTTCTGATGTTGTTTCAACAATGCTATTAAGTCCCCATTTTAGTTTATTATTATAAGCAATTGTAACAGTATTAGCACATGAAACCGCTTTGTTCATACTAATCAAATCAGACCGCACAACTAAGTCATTATCATCACCACCACACCTTAAATGAATTAATGGGTTGTTGGTAGTAGCCCTATTCCATATTCTAAATACATTATTACCACTTTCAATATTTTCGTGTATTTCAGTTGTTGCTTCACCACCATTTATTAACATTTTTGTTGGTATTTTTAGTAGTTCATTAGCATAATCATATCTCATATATTCTACTCTGGCATCTCCTGCTGTATTAGAACCTTCAAAAATTGTATCCAATGAATAACTCCTGTTAGAAAAGAAATTTCCAAACACTCTATTAACACTAACACCACCGTCATTAGCGAAATTCATTAATTTAATTGTTCCATCCAGCTCCAATGAAAAATATTCTACATCATTTCGTTTTACTGTTAAATCAACATTCCCTGTTGTATCTATCACATCCTGTTTCAAAGCAGAAGATAATGATAAGGGTTTAGCTATGCTCAAAATACCAGTGTCATAATTGTATCTCATATATTCTTCTCTTCCATCACCTGCTACATTAGAACCTTCAAAGATTGTAACCAGTCCATTAGTCCTGTTAGCAAACAGATTTCCATACATCACATCAGCACTGACACCGCCACTTGTTGGAAAATCCATTAATCTAACTCCCGCGCTATTTCTCAACTTACAGTATTCAACATCGTTTCTCTTGAATGTTAAATCAACATCACCAGTCGTATCTATCACATCCTGTTTCAGAGCAGAAGTTAGTGATAATGGTTTTGCTATGCTTAGAACACCAGTAGCATAATTATATCTCATATATTCTTCTCTTGCGTTTCCAGCAACATTTGAACCTTCAAAAACTGTATCTGATGAATAGCTCCTGTTAGAAAAATAATTTCCAAACATTCTATTAACAATAACACCACCATCATTAGCAAAATTCATTAACTTAATCGTTCCGTCCATTTCCAAGGTGAAAAATTGTGTGCCGTTTCTGAAGAATGCCATATTAACATCCCCACTAGTATTAACTGTATGAGTTTTCAACTGTCCTAATACATTGAAATCATTTGATACTGATTGTTCCACTCCACTCACTCTATCTATTTTACCATTAAGCAATGTATCAATTTCACCATCGGTATAACCGCTTCCACCTCCTCCACCTCCTCCTAAACTTGGTATGTCAGTCAATAATTTCAATTGCCCATCCGCTGGGTCTATCATCCTGAACTCATATGCTTCTACACTTCTATTGATATTATATAGACTTGCCATTTATATAATATAAATAGATATTAAAAATTATTATATTCAATTTTAATCGTAGAAAATGACAGATTGAGCCTTAATTTCTAAAATACATTCGTGTTCAATTACGATATACATCTTTTGAGGCATCACTCCCGTATCAACACCGTTGTCTGCTGTAAATAGTCTTGTTCCATACATTGGTTTAACACGGACGACCATATTTGAATTATTTTTAAGATTTAAACCGGTATAATTTGCTGAATTTAATTTCTTTAAATTGAACCCTGCTAAGAAGGAATTAGTTCTATACATTTGTGGTTTGATTGAGACGTGGTTGTTTCGTGTTTCTTGTAGATGTTTGTAGTTGTCGGTAATTCCTAATGTTGGCATTTCTGGGATGACTGTATTACCTATGCTTAATTGAAATTGTAAATCTAAATCTTCAAAATAGTTCTGTTGAGGTGTTCCTACGCTATTTTCAAAGGATAGAGGATGATACAATAGATTGTGTGGTTTTAACAATTCCCCGAAGCCACCTTTATAACCGTGAGGTGAATAGAATGATATGAAGATGTTGTCCGCTTTGCTTACATTTCTTACGATTGTTGTAAAAATGTTTGTTGTTTGACTTGTTGTTTGAGTTTGAACTGAAACACTGTTGAAGGTAATAGGTAAGGATTGTTTTCCAAAATTTCCGCATATTCTGCGAAAAGTCCGTCATCAAGTCTATGAACATCCGCTGTAATGATAGGTGCTTCAATGTTCCATAAGAATGATGTATCAGTAGTGGTAAATTCAGCAGATTGAGTAACTAATGGTTCAGTAGCATCGCTGACCAATGTGAGTTCAATTGTAATAGGACAATAAGACAATGGAATAAAGTTTGAAACATTGAAAAACGGACAAGAAGGTTTGTAATAGACAGTCTTTTTGTTTTTGAATCCTCCAAAATTAGCTGATGCCGCCTGCTCTACAACACTCACTAATTGATTTGAACCCGGATTGGTTGCTAATTGTGTATAGGTTAAAAAGCGGTTTCCTTCATTGTAAAAGGTCGACCATTGGAGCACACACATCTTGTTGTGGTCATTGGGACAACAACAACAACAATTGATTGTTTACTCCAAGTCTTCCCACGCTAGCGGCCAACCAGGCCATGGGAAACCACCATTACCAAGCTTGACGCACCTCGTCATAAGCGACAAAAACTACAAAAAAAAATGGGTGCAAATATATTTCTGGATTTTTTTCGTTCTTTTTTGGATTTTTTTTGTTTTTCGTGTTTCGTGGCAGGTGCAGTACTTTCCTCCGCCTGCAGGCAGTCGGTTGCCTGGCCGCCCTTTGAATTTGGGCGCATTTCCCCGGTGCCGGTGTGCAAGTGCCCTTCTGCAAATTTTCCGGGGAAGGGGCAAAACACCGGTGTTTCGTATGGTCATTCGTTAACAGGCCGTTCTCCAAGGCCTGTGTTGGCCAAATGCTCTTCATTGGGCGTTTGCTTGTGATTAGCTGTTTCTTGGGCCAGGAGGTTTGGAAAGCGAATTGGTTTGTTTGAATGCCGATATTCCTGCAGGTGTGTGTTTCTGTGTTTGGTGCGTCGCAACCGGCACCGGGTGAACTGTGACGTTGGCATGTGGCATCGCATGAAATGTGTCAAAGTGCGGCCGTTCATGTGCCAATGTCAGGCGTTTTGTCAGTTTTGCTATTGGCACGGTGGAAACACCAGCGATGTTGATGTCGCCTTGAGCCTTGGAACCGTCCAGCCTCAACTGGGTTTCGGGAACGCTTGGAACGTTGAGACCTGGAACAGTAGAATCCAGGACCACCCTTGCTGGTGATCGCGTTTGCCCGCTTTTTACAGTTTGACAATCTATACAAAAAATAACGTACGGTGTTGTACAGCAAAATATGATCTAATATATATCTATATAATATATTTTAATTATAGCATGGGCCCTGGCCCGCCTTGAGCAAAGTCAGTTTAGTCTCACTCTTTTATTTTGGATTTAAAATGCTGCCGGTGGCATTGAGGGATTGACGGACGGGCTGGCTGGCTGGCTGGCTGATTGACAGTTTGACATGTAAATTCACGAGTGCTTCTTTGCCGCGGCTGTTGTTGGGCCACCGGAAGGGACACCAAAACTGTTTGTAGACATCCTACCCAGTTCAACAACTTGCATCACACGTTGGGCACTTGAGGAACGTGTTTGATGTGATTCCCCCACGTAGGATTTTTTTGGCAGAATTCATTTTGCAAGCTGTGATGGGCATTGGCAGCACAGCTGGCTCGCTTTCACCAAGACAGTTGGCAATTGCACATGGTGAAACAAAGACATGAGCAGTTGCCAGGTTCCATCGTAGAATGACCGGTGCTTAGTTTTTTGTTCCTTGCCCTTCCCGATTTTGACTTGAAGCAGGTTATTGTGAATATTGTGATGCGCGCAGCAGGTCCGGATGATTGGCAGTTGGTGGGAGCCTTGGTGTTGGTTTGCTCAATTCGTCGCGTTGAGTTTTTTGTGGTTCCGGGCCCGCCACATGGCCCCTTTTGTTGGCAGGACCGGCGGGTTGCTGGAGTTCAGGCGAGGTCGACAGTTGACATAAAATGCATAAATATTCCCCCACGGAAACTTGTAGCAACGCATATGGTGAGTATATATCCGCCAAACAGATAATGGCAAGGTTGCCAATACATTTGTAGTGGGGATTTGCTTCTATTTGGAGGTCTATATGCTGAGTATTCAATTTGTTATGGCGTTGTGGCACACGAACGCAGGAGTCTAGCGAAAACAAGGTGGAGGATACACAAACACTGGTCTGTTCCTTCCAAATACTGACAGTGCTGCCCATGTTGGTTTCAGTGGTTTCACAATCGGCCAATATTGACGCGAGGCTCTCAACAGCCTGTTCTTCGCAGGTGGTGCAGCCCTCAAAGGCACTCACCATTCACAATGCACATTTTTTTTATTTTTTAAGAATTGTTGGGCATGCCCTTGCAAGTGGTGAACATGCTGTCAACCCGATCGGCCGGATGATGCACTGAGGCAGCACCGGGCGTCAGTGGGACGCGGAAGCTGCGGTGCTTTCGGCGTTGGTGCACGTTTGGGCGCCCAGTGAGGGCGAAAGGGCTCCGCGCTGTTGCCGTCCAACGGGTTGATGGGTCCGTGCTGAGGAACGAGCACCGCCGAGCCGGCATGCTGAAGCGCTGGTTGACCAGCAGTCTGACTCTTACACCATTTTTGCCCACGTGGAGCAATCAGCCACCCACTAATCCCCAGAGATTGGAAGGTCTAGAGTCCACGTATTCATGGGAGCCAGCCACTGTACAAGCTTTGAACCCCTTGGATCAATGGTTTACACATATGCAGATGGTATGTCAGAGGGGTGAGACGGCACCATTTTTGAAGTTGGGGGCATGGCAGGCGCAAATTTGCATGACTGAAGGACTAAGTGTGGCAGACTACCATGATCGTGCTTGTGGATGGCATCAATGCGACTCATCCAAAGTCTTGTGTAACTAATGCGGTGGCAAGATCACCTACCCTCCCCAATCTAACATAACCTTTCAATTCGGGGGAGGGGGATGAGTTTGTTTGGGGGAGTGTATCAATCCCAAATCTTTCAGCGCCGCTCTCCCAGTTGGTGGCGTGAACACCTGAGCGCCGCGGACGGTGACGCAGCCTCGGCGGCCTTCGACCTTTTTGCCCCTTGGACCATCAGGAGTTCCCTTGCTGGAAGGGTTTCCTTGCCCTAGGGTCCAGAAGCAAACATGGAGTAACATTGTTCGATTGGAAATGGTTCTTGACATTTGAGTGATTACCTAGGCCACTGATCCCGCAGGCTGCCAAGTAAACTTATATGAGGCAGGAGGGGCTTCAAAAAACACATAGGATGAGGATCAATTGAACAAGAAACTACCAGGTCTTGACCTGTGCAGCGGTGCTTTCACTCCGCTTGCGGCGGGAAGCCAAGGCATGGACATTGTTTTGGGGTATCCTTGCTTGTGAACTGTGGGGGTGTGGGAAGTTCTGATGTGGTTCCAGTATGTTTTGCTTCCTGATTGAATCAAGCAGTGATGGGGCCTGTATGGAGTACCCACTGGTTGAACATTTTATTGGAGCTAGAGGGAGCACCTTCGTGCAATTTCTGAGCTTAGTCAAGTGAGATGTCCAATCCTTCCTACAAGTCACGGAGCCAGTGATCAAGCCCCACAGTTCCCTTGAGAGCTGTGCTGCCCCAGGCGGCTGTACTGTGCCTGGTGTGGAGCGGTCGCATCCTCAGGCAAAAAGAACTCCCCATGTCTCTTGTGAGCCTTTGATGCTGCGACTTGAGGACGGGACGATGGACGTTTGGGCGTGTCTGCGATGGTGAGCTTGCTTTGCTCTCTGCTGTGGGGAGCCCTGTTTCAATTGAGCTGCTTCATGTTTCGGCCATGGCCATGGTGGCCAAGAATGTGAGTTGGCATTTTGAATCAGAGGCTCCTTGAACATCAGTTAAAAAGTTCAGCATGTCCTGGCATCTTTGCATTGGTCAGCCAGCTGGCCGTTACTCAGAGAAAAGTCTCAGCTCGCAGAGCTCTGTGAGCCACGCTGTCGTAGAATGCATTTGGATCGCTTTTCTGTGTTGGCCAGAAACGAGGCAGGGCTTGCATCGCTTAAGTGTCCTGGTGCCTTCACCGCCCCCAGTGGAGGCTCGTGCCGCCTGCGCCGCGTGCGCCACGTTCGCCGAGGGATTTGAGGCGAAAGAGCACTCCCGGCCTTACATCGCCAAGGCTGAGAGTAAGAACGCCAACCACCAACCACCACCCTTTGATGGTGGGGTTCCAAAACAGTTTGGACCGATACAACAGCCGCCAGGAGAAAGCTGCTTGGAATTGATGCATTGACTCAGAATGTCTGTCCTGTCTCGTGCCTAAAGTATAGTTCCACTCTTGTGAAGCACAGAGTCGTCTTACCCAACACTGAGCCTGCCGAAGTCCTTCATGTAGCCTGTTCATTTGCATGAGCCAGGGGCAATCTGTCAAACAACTGTGCACGCTTGTCACTCACGCATGTTACATGTTACTCATGTTCCATTCATTCCAGGAAATAGAGAATGACATTTGCCGATTGCCGCGGCCTTGGACGTCGTCACGTTTCGCCTCGTCACCGAAGGTTTCGACTTCCCGGCCTTGGGGGCGAAGCTCAGGCTCTGGGTCTTGCGGAAGCATCAGCCCTGTCGGGGTGATGCCATTGCCTTCGAGGAGAGGGAAAAGTACCTGGGCCGCGTATGGCGTATGCCTCACCCATGTGGGGCCATCACTGGGGGTTTATTGTTCATCAGTGGTTTTTCCAGGTTTGTTGTCTTCTGAGACACAAGCCTGCTTGCCTGTGAAGCTTACCCCCCCGTGCTTATATTCTTCTTCCGAAGTCACACTGACAGGCACACCCATTTGGTTCTAAAGGTGCTGTTCTGTGGTTCTGTTGGTTTTTCCTTTTGCTCGGGTGGGCCAAGTGGCCCACGGGTCAAAACTGCCCCGCATGCCCCGGCCTCGATTCCCTTGTTCAAGCCTGTCCGGACAGGCGCCCAGAAGCACTGGGAACTCGGGCCCGGTTTTTCTTGCTCGTAGTCTCAAGGGGTTCACGCCAGGGCCTTCGCGAGGGAAGCACTGAGAATGTTTTGTGGTCCGTTCAAGCTTGGTGAAGCTTCTGGTTCTTCCTGTTGAGTCCTTCGTTTAAAGGCACGGTGAGCCAGATTTCAGGGCCGAGTCGCAATGCAGGAGCTCCTCCTCTTAGCTGATTTGGACATTTGCATCGTTTGGGCCTCAGGTTGGTCGCTGTTTGTTGGAGATCTGTCGAAACGGAGACCCTGCCTTCGTGATGTTTCTAGAGAGTCTGAGACCAGCACATTCGCTTTGCAACAAGCGAATCGACGGAAAGAAAAGGTAAGCTAGCTGGAAAACCTTGCATGTCCATTCTTTCTTCCAGAAACCGCAGGGGCCACAGGAATTTGCAGGTCCATTGTCGTCCTGTTCGTAGGGGCTCTCCGACGTTCGGCTTTCTCGTCCAATGCACCTCTCACATAGATCATAGAGCCCTCAACAACGTTGATCACATACCCAACCGCGCCAGTGCATTTAATAATGGATTTCACTTGCCTGTGCCACCACTCCTGCGTCACAACAATTGGCCAAAAGAGACAACCTGCCAAAAAGAGACCCGGTTATCACATGTCTCTCAGGATTCTGGTTGATGTGTCCTGTGCCTATAACGGTTTGGGAATAGGAAAGGCTCAGAGCATCTCACGCCCTGAACCCTTCGCGTTCCATGCCCAGGCACTCTTTTGCGGTGCTTTCGAGCCAACAGATCCGGAGCCTGATCTAGCCCGGTAGCTCAGTTCGTCGATGGCCAGCACAGACCCAGACGAAAACTCGTGGAAAAGACGGACACGTCTGAAACAGTTCCACCCATAACCTGAGTCCCATTTTGGTTCACTGACAGATGTCACTGACAGATGTCCAAACGTCCAGTTCCGTTGCTTTTGGCTCCTTGGTGGCGTGCCGAATGTGCAAGGCCCGCATGAGCGTCAAGGGTCGAGATGTGCCACCTCAGGCGCGCACGGTGTTTCTGGGGGCCGGAGGTATGCTTTTGTGGTTGCCAATGCATCTGAGGATATGGCCGTGCTTACTGAAAACAGGACTATTGCCAATACATCGGAGGATCTGGCTGTACCATGCTGCACCCCAGTCTCCACAATCCTGCCAAAGCGAGGGCTCAGCGAGGTCGGGTGTTTGAAGACGGTGGAGAGAAACAGGAGGACGGTCCACCTCATGAGCCAACTCACGACTCGACCGCGCATTGGGGGGTGTCCAAGATCAAATAGCAGTGGGGCCCCCTGTGCGGTCTGCCGAGGTCAGCATCCAGTGGGGGGGGGTTGTTCTTGAGACTCCTTTTGCAGTTGAATGTGCGTTGTTCGCCTTTCATGGAGGTCAAGCCCAAGAAGGGCCGGAAGGTGCCAGAGGCCGTAGCTCGACCAGGCGGGGAGCCGGTGGAAAAGGATGGTGGTGAGGTTTGAAGTCTGTGAGCTGTTCAGACAAGAAGTTCGAGATCTTCAGACCAGATATCTGAGCTTCTTAGGCATTAAGAATCCAGCTATTTGGGGCTAGAGGAATGGGCCGGAATGGGTTCTCAGACCTGCAAATTACTTTTTTCTTTTTGGTGTTGGCAGTTGCTAGAGTGCAATGGTAGATCCAAATGTGATGTCAAACCGCAGGCCGTGGATCCACCAATCGGCTTGCAATTTTTCAATCGTGTAGGGCCTTGAACTGTTGCACTTGATGGACAAAACTCGAACGTGATGTCATCATTGATCCATGCAAGCCACGGCGCTTGAATCGACCGGCGGCAGGGAAGGTCCAAAAAGTGGGCCCAGATGAAGCCAAGAAGGTCGGGTTGTGGGCTTCGATCCTGCGGATGTGTGTGGGTTGATCCGTTTTTTTTGTGAGTCCAACTCACCTGTTGGACTTCTGGTCTTGTCTGCAGATGTCGATTGCAGACTTCTGGCCTTTCAAACTCCCTCTGTGCCTCGTTTGGGCTTTGTCTTTCAGAGGCTGGTCTCGATCAAAAGCCGCTGCCAGGTGTCGGCGGTCACGGCATCAGCTTTGATGAGCCGAAGAGAGGTCCGGTGTCAGCGGTAGACGGTCTATGGCAGAGTCTATGGTCTTCGCAGGTTTGAGCGAAAGCAGAATGGGGCCTTGCAGAGGGTCACGTGCAAGTTCCTGCAATTGAGTTGGATAAACATGGCGCGAATTGCTGTGCACTGGCTCCGTGTCGTTCTTGGGGGTTTGCCTCAGGTTCTCGAAGCTTTTGAGACTTTCAAAGCCATCCGAGCCGAGCAGGAGCTGCTTGGGTTCTGGCTCTTTGGGGTTTCCTTCCGATCTCGCCATGCCGCAGCTGGTTGGTCACTGACACCAGGAACTCTCTTTTTGACAAGCTGCAGCCTGTGTTTTCTTGTTGTTTCTGGCACGTGGCTTGGGAGACTGGGTCTGCCTATTTTTAGTTAGTTCCAGGCCTTTGGTTCTTGTAGACTGGATTTTGGACAGTGCCTGTGAACGGGAGGAGCGCTTGCCGCGCTCCAAATGCAGCTACGACACCTCAGCGATCCGCTCGCTGGGGATCCCGTGGGCACCCGTGTGAATATCAGACAAAACAGACCATGTGGCTGTATCATGCCATGATTTGGAAAATGGATTTCGACAATTCTGCTTCCATGCTATTCACACAACCATTTTTTTGGGGTCACAGGAACACCGGATGGGAAGGGATATCCAAGCTGGCAGTTGTGTTAATCAGTTGCAGGGGGAGTATTGGGATCAAGGCCCATACACATCTAACATACACTCCTACACACTACTAACACAAGTTAAAGAAGCTGGTTTGTGAGGCACAAGGGCGGTCTTCCCAGGGGCCATGCCGTCCACTTCTGGTGGTATGCTTGTCGGAGTGCAGAAACTGACACGCGAATATTCGAATACTCGAAAACCAAGCCCTGAGGCTGCAGAAGATCAAAGTGCCACAAGTGCAGATGGCGGTGAGACGGTTGCTATCGCCGTGCCCTCTGAGTGCGGGGGTCATCATGCGTTTTCCAGTCCAGAGTAGCCAATGCCACAGACCTCGCTATGCAGTCCAGTCGAGGCATTTAATGTCGACTACTTGAATTGATAACCCTCTTCAAAGGGGGGTTATTGTAACCTAAGGGTCTACATTAGATGTATCGCTTTGTATATATAGTTGTTCTAACGTTCTTCTGTGGCAACTCCACTAGTCGAAGCGAAGCTGGTCAAATATGGACGATCTCATAGAAATTCTTGGAATACTTTATTGCATGAATGGGGGGTGCGAGACACTTGACCTCTGAGTGTGGCCATCCGACCAGTCTCGGCGACCGTTCGCTACCCGGTCGACCGAGCCCCGGACGGGGAGCCTGGAGCCGTGAGGCGCGGCCAAGCGCTGGAGCTTCGGGACTTCTTGCGGATGTTAGCCAAGGCCAAGGTGCAATCACCAGATGATTTGGGTGGTTGGGGAGGCCACAAGGGGAGTATCGTGAGTGTTTGAAAGCACTCTACTATTGGTTAACCGAGGATTCTAGTTACTAGTTGGAAGACTGAACTTGAGTGAAAGAAATGGGAGAAGGACTTTCGACTGTTCAACCCGGTATGCGCCTTCCAGACTTCAAAAGAATCGGAGGAATCCAACATAAGAAGCACAAGCGGTTTCGTCATTGGTGCTGTTTCGGCGATCTCTCGAAGAGACACAAACAGGATACATAGAAATTGTACTAGAAATATACATACACGCACGCATATGGTACACATACGTCCATACAGTCCATATATAATATATATATATATATTGAAAAGGCTTCCAGTCCATAAAAGAAAAATCAGTTTTGTGGTTACTTGCCCGCACACGGTCGCCCGCAATCCAGTCGCCGGCGGCCTACTGCGACGGGCACCTGCGGATTTTTGAAGCTTGGATTACCGAGCGTGTGGGTAGCTCAGAGCACCGCGGCCCCCCACTAGCAAACGAGCAAGGCGGAAGAGTTTGGTAGGGTTTCTGGTCGAACCGTGAAGCCCATTTTGGAATGACGTATGCCGTGTATCTCGACACGATTGAAATGCTGCTGGACCAGTTGTTTCTGTGTCAAGAGTCATTTCGCCCCCTAACCTGCCGCTTTCCACTTGAATGCGGATGGAGTTCCTCCAAAGCCTTTTGAAAGCGCCCAATATATAAATATATACAAAAAGAGGCAGACATCCTCTTGCTGCTCCTTGTCATTATGATTTGGAGATGCTGCTGGCTTCTCTTCGCAAGGTGCAGCTCACGGATTCCGAGCTGATCAAGTACCGGTTGGCCCGGGGGCCCCAGATTTCTGGAAAAGATGGGAGTGAGGGGTCCAAACAAGCGGTTTGAGGGGGGAACTAAATGGAGGAGAGAAGATCAGCTCAGTTTAAGGTTTGCATCAGCTTCGGTCACTGAGGACAAGCCACTGCCAGCCAGCACCTTGGAGGGTGATCGCATGAGGGGTGACTTTGGAGATTGAGGGCCTTGATCAGGTCGCACACCAGG